CTAGGCCGGCATGGATCTTCATACCCTTATTTTATGCGTCCCTCCGTGGCTGGGGTGATAGGCATGTACTACCACGCCCAGCTTTTTTCTGTTGAGATGGAGTTCCACAAACTTTTTTGCCAGGCTGACCTGGAACTGCAATCCTCCCGATCTCAGCCTCAAACATAACTGAGATGACAGGCACATGCCACCTGCCCAGCTGTTACATAATCTTTTCTTTGTGGAAAGTCAAAAAGCACTACCCTCCAGTAAGAAATATGTCTGACAACCTGTGTAAGATAACTGGAAGAGAGAGGACACAAACTCCGAATCGCCAAAAACTAGAAAATATACAGTAATCTAGAGAAGAGAACAAACCTGGGCTACCTACTGACAGAATGTAGGAGACAACTATGACAGTCCAGAAAGAATGAGAAGTGAGTGACTATAAGCGTTTTGGCAGCTTGTAGCACTTTTAATAGTCCCAAAGACTGATTTCACTGACATGTCCAGCTGACTCCCAGAGGAGAGCTGCCAGGATTGCTTCCTAAGGCCCTCAAAACCATGAATGGGCCAGGGTTGCTGTGGCTGGACCAGTCTCAGGCACTGGCAAACTGAACCGCAGCACATTCATAACTGTTATCAGAGCTTTTGCTTTATGGAGGCCAGAGGCCCTTTCTTACATGGAGCAGCAGCTGTACTCCTGGGAATAATTCTGACACAAAACACTGCACAGGGAAAAAAAGTGAGCTGCATGCCATGAAGGTACTCATTACAGCATCATCTGTACTAACAATATATTCCAATAATAAAGGAAATGAATATGGTATTTTCAATAAAACAACTTGTGTAACCATTAAAACATGGATCATTATGAAAAATATGAGTAATCAGAAAATGTAGGTAAAAAGAATGTGTGTCTTTTGGGAGCATTATGAGGTTTGATCTCTATGTGGAAAATCTTAGGAGTATCTGGTACATAATAAGTACTTCATAAGTGCTGTCACAGGCAGCCAACTGGTCAGACCATGTCCAAATAAGGCAAATGCTTAGCTGTAACCAGTCAAGCTATTTCTGTTCTTGACTTCCTGGTTCAGCCTATAAAAGCTCACTGTCAACACTATACTGCAGAGCTCCCTGAATCTTCTGTTTAGAGTGCTTCCCCATTCAGGAATCATTCTTTGTTCAAATAAACTTTTAAAGTTTTACAGATATGTTGGGTAGATGACACAAAGTAAGATGTCCACCATAACAAGTTCCTAGACCCTCCCAAGGATAGATGGAGCTAATAGCCCCTCTTTAGACCCTGTCTTCCTGTTGCTATTAGCCCACTGCTGGGCTCCACCCTGATTCTGTCTTATCTCCAGCTCCTTTACTATTCATCCTAGCTGTTAGAAATGAAAGAGGCATGGGAGAGGCAGAGAGACGGCTCAAACACGAGCACAGGTTTATTGTTCAGGCAGGAGCCCTGTGGAGGGGAACCCAAGAAAGAGAGCTAGAGCCCACTGCCACACACAGGATTGAGCTAGATAGGGGGCTAGTGGAAAAGTACCAGGAAAGTCACTAAGGGACACCGTTGCTGGGCAACCAAGGAAGATAAATTGTAGTTAGGTCACTGTCTGCTCAGTTGTCCTTGGCACCCATCTGGAGATAAAGGTTAACAACTGTCCCTTTGTCAGTCTTTGGAGTTGGATGGGGAGTTTCTAGTAAGCCCCTGCAAGAGGGGAGGGGGCCTGGTCCTCACATAGCTGTCCTTACTGTTAACTCCAACGTGTCATCATCAAATTGTTTTTCTTGGGAAAATTCCAGTATCAAATATTCTGTCCTTTGGCCCTATAAAGAAAATTTATACCTAATAGATTACAAGTTGTGGTTGAGATTTGCTTTGGGAAATATGGTCATAGTGTGTAGTGTCCTGGGGTAAAGGCATAAGAGGAGTATACTGAGTTGTCCCTCCACACCCGTCACCAACAACAGCTGCTGTGTGTCTGTCTGGCAAGAAGTCTGGGATACTCTACACTGGGATTTACTTAACAATTGGTGAGTTTGTTCTTCCCTCTACCTAAAGCAAAGAACAAACTCAACTTCTAGAAACGAAGCTTTGGTAGTAATCCAGTTAGTTAATTGGGCAAAAGACTACTGTCCACACAGTCAGTTAAGACTAAATCAAGCCAGGAATGGTGGCTCACAGCTGTAATCCCAGCACTCAAGAAGCTAAAGAGAGACTCTGTCTGAAAAAGACAAAACAAAACAAGGGTGAGGGGTGTGGCTCAGTGGTAGAGTGGTTGCCTCGTATTGACCAGACACACACACACACACAAAACCCTCTCAGCCTACAAAAGCACAGACTGAGTCTGAGTACTTGGGCAATTGCACCACCTGATGGCGGCAGAGGACGGCAGCAGGCCTCCTGGCAAAGAAGCTTTTGGTGGGAGCTTCCAAGCTAAGACTATGGGTGGGAAATGTCCACAAATTGCCTGGCAATGACCAGTAAGAGTCTGAGGGACCATTTAAGGGAGAAAAAGGAGCCTAGAAGCTTTTCAAGAAAAAAAAAAAAAAACCTCTTCCTGTTTTCTCCAGAAACCATAGTGGTACCTAAAAGTGGGGAGGAGGTTGGAGGGGAACGGGTGTGGAGGGAGAAGCCAGTTAAACTTAAGGCCCTGTCTTCACAGCAATTCCCAAGTCCAACTGGGAAAAAGCAACTGAAGGAAGAATTCACAACAGTTAGAAGGGCTCAGGACTAATTTATCAACATTGTATAATTTTTGACCATCCATAAGGTTGAGGAAGAGGAAGGGGGTGTGGAGGAAGATGCTAAAGTGGAAGTGTTCAGGTTAGAGCCAACAGGAGGTACGGGGATAGAGCCGTTCCTGAAAATGTAACTTCCTCACTTTTCTTTTTATATATTAAATTCAAATTAGTACATCAGTCTTTGATCAAAGTTGGAGGCCTCCTGTTAAGATTGTAGCTGTGAACTGGAGAGATGGCACTTGCCTATAATCCCAGTACTCTGGAGGCTGAGGCAGGAGAATCAAGAGTTCCAGGCCAGCCTGGGTTACAGCCTGTTTAAGACCCTGTGTCAAACAAAACACAAGATTAGTGTTCTGAAAAGCCATTTCTTTGTCATTTTTAAATTTTATTTATTTATTTTTGGAGACAGTCTCATTATAAAACCCAGGTTGGCCTGGAAGTCATGATCCTCCTTCTTCAACCTCCCGATTGCTGAGATTATAGGCTTGAAACACCATGCCTACTTCTGAAAAGGCATTTCTATAGGGTTACCGAAATAACATAGCTCAAGCTTTCATTAAATACATATTTTTAGAACGCATACTTCATGTCAGGCTCCATGCTGGGTGCTGAGGATATAACAAGGCAGATGCCTGCCAGGGTTTGTAGGTTTCTGGCAACCTGCTTCCACACAAGGGTCACACAGGGCTGCCTAGTGTGACCTTTCTCAAGTAGTCAGATCTTTCAGACTGAAATAACACACTTTGAGGAAAACATTTGACAGATTTCTGACTGTCCAGCATCTTTTGAATACTCTTCCTATATTTGGGGACCTCCCCCTACAATATAATTCCTGCCTCCTTAAGACAAAACCCAGAATTCAATTCCCCAGCTTTTCTTGCAGCTGGAGCACAATGATTTTGGTATTGTCAATTGGTGCAGCCATGTGACTCATTGATTCAGAGGAGAGCAACCAAGGAAACAAGCTTCAGGAAGAATCCATTTTTTTGTCTTTTGAGAGATATGGTCTTCCTATGTAGCCCAGGCTCACCTGAAACTATGTAACCCAGGCTGGCCTTGAACTTTTGGTTCTTCTGCCTCAACCTCTGGAGTGCTGGAATTATAGGCATGAGCCACTATGCCCAGCTAAGAACCTATTTTTAAGACACGGTGAGGGTGAAGAATCTAGCTTCCCAAGGCAGCTTTAATGAAGTTTTTGACCTTCAGTGTCCAGAAGTGTGAGCCTTGGTGCTGTTTCACTGCAGCAGGCCCACAGAATGATTTGTTCTGGCTATTCAGATTGTAGGCCTCTCCATGTGTACCAGAGACACCAGGAGCTACCTAAGACTCTCAGCTGCTTATCTTTAAAACCTGAGAGTCATCACCAGGTGCTGGTGGCTCACGTCTGTAATCCCAGCTACTCAGGAGGCAAAGATAAGGAGGGTCCAGGTTCAAAGCCAGCCCAGGCAAATAGTTCATGAGACCCTATCTCGAAAAAAAAACCAAGATAAAACAAGGCTGGTGAACTGGCTCAAGTGGTAGAGTGCCTACCTAGCAAGCATGAGGCCCTGATTTCAAACCCCAGTATCACACACACATACACACACACACACACACACACACACACACACACTGAGAGTAAGCTCTGCTCTTTGCAAAGAACTGTGACTGATACATATACTGAACTACTGTTTTGCCCAGACTCTAAGATGGCACACTTCTGTTACTTAAACTTCATAAAAATCATTTAAGATACAAATTATACATTTTACAGTTGAAAACCTGAAACTCAAAAAGACACTTGAGCAGGGCATAGTGGTGCATATCTGTAATCCCAGCACTAGGGAGGCTGAAGCAGAAAGATCTCCAGTTCATGGCCAGCCTGAGCTACAAAGCAAAACCCTTTCTCAAAAAAAAAAAAAAAAAAAACACCAAGGGCTGGGTGCATAGCTCAATGGTAGAGCACTTGCTAGCATGCACAAGACCCTGGGTTTGATCCCTATCACTGCCGTAAAAAACAAAAACAAAAAAGAAAAGGACACTTGATTCCTTTTACACATATTTATTAAAAGCCTACTCCGTGCCAGCCATTGGGAATAGAATGTTTAATAAGATAGTTCTCCACAACTGTTAATAAGACTAGCAGACTATACTTTAAATATCCCCTTGCCAAAATAAAAGGTACAATGCAGCAGCTGTCTGGAGAGGGCCTCCTGCTAGTCAGACCCCATTTTAAAAATAGAACCCCCCCTAAAAATAGCCACCCCTGTTCGGGACGCAACAGGTGATTGGCTCAAGAAGAGGGAGGAGAACGAGGCCTCGCTGAAGGAGAGCGAAGGACAGCGCCATCCCAGCTTCTCCACCGTAATGGCGCTGCCTCTGAGGTCCTTAAGTCGGGGCTTGGCCAGCGCAGCCAAGGGCGACCACGCAGGGGCCGGAGGTGAGTGGGGCCGGGGCACGACCCTGTGACTTACTGGCCTTGCCCACCCATTCCCTCTCCAACTCCCCACTCCCCAAGTCTCGACGACAACCCCCACCGGCCACATTCCCGGCCCTGCAGCTTCTCCGCTGGCCTTTCTTCCCGCACAGCCAGCACCTGGCGCCTCCTGACCTTCGTGCTGGCGTTGCCCAGCGTAGCGCTCTGCACACTCAACTGCTGGCTACATGCGGGTCACCGCAAGCGCCCCGAGTTCATCCCCTACCACCACCTGCGCATCCGCACCAAGGTATGTGCAGGGACCGGGGACCAGTGGGCGGGCGAGCGGTGCGGAGCCCCGGGACACGTGCGCTGACCCGCTGTCCCCTCTCCGCAGCCCTACTCCTGGGGCGACGGCAACCACACGCTCTTCCACAACCCCCACGTCAACGCTCTGCCCACGGGCTACGAGCACCCCTGAGGCCCCAGCGGACAATCCCCAGCGCAATAAAGATGTGAAAGGTTCGTGTCCTTGGGCTCCTTGGGGACAGCTGAGCAGGAGGGGTCCCGCAGGGCTCGCGCTTACGACGTGCGCATGTGCGCAGAGCCCTGGCTCTGCACTTGTCTTTCCCAGGCCAGGGAGGGTATAGGAGGTATAGGTGGGAGGCTCCTGCTTTCTCTATCACCTCTTTATATATATATATTATATATATTTTAAATTCTCCTCTGGGGAAGGAACCTGAGATTCTCTGCAACTCAATGACTTGTCTAAATTCAGGCAGCTGATCTGAGACCCTGGGAACCTGGGAAGTGAGAGGACCTGTTCTATATCCACAGCAGGCTCTTCTGATTATTCCCGGAATAGCACCCTAGGATCAAGCTCTTCCATACAAGGAAAATGTGTTACAGACACCCTCATTTAATGTGACAACTCATGCATATGAAAATGTGTGCTGGCATTGTGCCTCAGTTCAATGGCCTAGAACCTGATAGGTTGCTCAGGTCAGTCCCGATCTGTGAGAAGCTGTGATTTAGAGGCAGAGATGGGACCAGTCCATGGGGTAGAGATAAGCAGGAAAGAGGATTATTAGGACAAAGGCAAATTTGGGTCCTCACAGATGAAATCCTCCCCACTGAGTGTGGCTGGGTCTTCTGGCTTGTCATCCAGCATCTCTTTGTACTGACGTTTGAAGAAACCAAGCTGTGAGAGGAAGTAAATGAGAGAAGATGAGTAAAAGGGCAGGGAAGAAAGATGAGAGTTGGAAGAAGCTGAAAAAGAAGAAAAGGGAACTGAACTAACTCTTGCTTGTGTGTCAGAACACTTATGTGATCAAGAGCTGTCACAAACAGATTTCTCGTGTGCCAAGCCCAGCACAATCATTATACAATGTGAACAGTAGGAGATGAGCATAGATTATATGATCTGGCAGGGTTGTACACATTCCCTGGCCTCATTTCTATCTCACTTCAGCCAATCAGTGTTGTAAGCCCTATTATTGTTTCAAAAAATGGGAAATTGGCTAAGAGAGGTTGAGCAATTTGCTCACATTAACCGATGAGTAAGTGATAGAGGCAAAATGTGTGCTTTGGCCTGCCTGACAACATGATCCAAGGTCTCACTGCACTCTCCTGCCGTGGCAGGGCAGAGGTTGGATGCTGGTGGTGTTAGGAGTGGGATAAAACACTGACCTTGTACAGGGCAACTGTGATGAGAGCCAGCAGCAGCAGACCTCCCACAGAACTGCCCACCATGAGGAAGGTGGGATTGTAGACTTCATGTTCTTCTAGCACCGTCTCCATCTGAGTAGGAGACCAAAAGCGTCAGGCTCCTGCTGTCTCATACTCCCCTGGGCTCCTAGCCTTTAGCTTCCTCTCCACCTCCCTTGGGTCCTGCTCCAAGGGGTGCTTTAAGGGCCACTGTCCTGCCCAGGGACCCTCTTCCCCCAGTCCTTGCTCCAAGGAGTGAGATGTAGTGTTCTTTGGAGCCACTTTGCCACCCAGGGACCCTGCTCCCTCCAGGCCGGCAAATCCCCATCCAGAACCCTACACTTAGCATCAGGAGCCTTCTCGCCAGCCTGACCACTGCCTACCACACAGCCACTACCTGGGCTCTCAAAAATGCCTCCTGTCCTGGGAGCTGGGAATACACAGATGTGTTGAATGCGATTTCAGCCACACTCACGACCTCCACCTTCTTCTGCAGTGTCTGCAAAGGGGAGGGGGGAGGGGAATAGGGTCTGAGGGGAGCTCAAGAAATGTCCTGGCCTGAGGATAGCACAGGCCCATCAGGCCCCTCGTGGATCTGGGGGAGAGGCAATGCTGTTGCTCTTATGCACCTGGCTGACCCAGCCGAAGCTTAGGTTGCCCTCTAGGATGAAGTCAAGTTCCTCCTGGACACCAAAGGAGGGGATGTCACAGCGGATCCTTAAGCAGTCAGCAATGGAGCAGTCCTGAGGACAGGAGAGGAATACACTTAAAGAGGGTCTTCACTTAGGAACCATAAGAGAAAATAAAGGTTATTCAGTTTGGGGTAGAGAACAGATGAACAATTAACAGGATGACTTTGTAACACTGGAATTTAGTTGTCCATTTCCCTGTATGCCCCATTGTAGGCTGGCCCTACCCTGGGGCCTCAGGGCCTTTCTCACCAGCACAGAACTCTTTGGAATCTTGGTCAGGAAATCAGAGCACTGGGGAGGCTCCCTCTCTGCCACACAGGGGAGACTCTGGGAAGAGAGAGAAAGCTCCTTAGGCACACAAGGGTACCTATTCTCTGATGAGGTGGATGGCACTGTGGGATCGATGCAAGAGAGGAAAGTTGGGCAGGCACCTGTGCAGGGGCCCTCACAGCCACATCCCACACAGCCATGCCATCCAGAAGGATGGGGACCCAGAAGGTAACGCTGATGTCCAAGTCCCGCTGGCTCAGGTTATTCACCTGCAGAAAATCAAGACCAAACATTATTGGAGTCCCTGGCATGTTGCAAACCACTTCTTTCCTACCCATAGCCTTCAGGTCTTCTTCATCTTGAGTTGAGATAGACAAGAATGTTCTCTAGTCTCGTACCCGATACCGATGTTTGGCCTCTTTCTTGCTGTTCTCATCAGAAGAAGAAAAATTGAAGTACGTGGTGGATTCTTCCTGCCTGGAGAGAGGGCGTGTTGGTGATACCATCCCCAGGTAGGGCCTAGCCTGCTGCAGAAAGGCCAGCAGATGTCCCAGGGGATTAGCAGTGGTCCCCACGTACCTCTGCAGCCTTAGCTTCAGCTCCTCTCCCCTCAGAGGCCTCTGCCCCAGTCACCCAGAACTAACAGCTCTCCCCTCGATACCTACCCCTCGTTCTCTCATATCCCCAGGACTTTGCTCAAGTTCTGTCTTCTGCTTAGAATGTCCTTACTCCCCTTCAGGGAATTCTCACTTAGAGGCCCAACTTAAACATCACCTCTCATAATGTTTAAGCATTTTCCTATGGGATACAAGTGTTCCCATTGCTTTTTTTAGTTGATACGTGGCTGGCCTCAGGTAATGCTTGCAGTCTTCTGTTAGGAGACTCTAGGGAGGACAGCTGGATTACTCATGAAAAAGTGGAATAAGAGGACCCTCTATGATGGCAGTGGAGAAAATAGATGGGGTCATCTTGGGGCAGATAAATGTGAAAGAAGATGGTTCATGAACTCAAGCCCACAGAGGGAATATAAATGTTCCAGGTTGCAGCAGGGCTTCCATCCATCCATCCATCCATCCATCCATCATCCATCATCCATCCATCCATCAATCACGGCTTCTTTCACTAAACTTTTACCATGTACCAGGCTATGCAGATGGTCCTGGAGAGTCAACATTTAAACCATAGTCCTGCCTTCTCAGAGCTTAATGTCAAAGTCTCAGTAGAACCAAACAAGAAAGATGTGAACTTCCACCAGCACCCAGAAGCCATACGAGTCAGAAAGAATTTCTGTGGACTGGAACAGTTTTCTCACTATCAACTTGATCAAGAACGCAGAGGGGGCTGGAAATGCAGCTGTGTGGTATAGTCTAGGTAAGCATGCTCTGGTTGAGTTCACATCTCACATCCACCACATCCTACCCAAATCCTTTGAGGTGAGTTACTTCATCTAACCTCACTAGAGCCCTGTAGTTTTTTCTTCTTAACATAGGATTCTAAAAGTAGTGGCTATCTATAGTAAAGTTATGATGAAGGCTGTAGCAGCTCTGAGCACCTATCTGTGCTATAAAGGTTAATTTTCCTTTAGTATGCTAGCCTTCCTCTCTGCTCCCCACCCCAACCCACATTCTTGCTGTGCTTCCATTTTTCTTCCTTAAAAATCTTCCAGTTTTAAACCTCTTTTCAAATCTGAGTAAAGCACCCTGCTTTCCTAAGTCTTCAGAGGCATGTGGCATATGGCCATAGGCACAGGCCCTGGGGTCAAACTCTTTGGTCCTGCCTGCTTTCATTGACCCTCACAAGCAACCTGTCTCCCAGGGTGGCCTTGTAGATGTCAAATGTGGCTTGTTTAGTGAATGACAGGGGCAAGTTATTTAAATTCTTGATTTTTGGGGGGTAACAATATAGTTTTGGGGAGGAATAAATGAATATAAATACATGTAAACTACTTAAAACAATGCAAAAAATGACAACTAAAAAAATAATGCTTGACATATCATAAGGTCTGTTATAAGAATTTTCTTATAAGGACCTGCATGGTGGTACACAGCTGTAATCCCAGATACTCAGAAGGTAGATATTGGGAGGATTAAGATTCAAGTCCAGCCCAGGGAAAAAGTTAGCAAAACCTCATATCAACCAACAAGCCAGGCATGGTGGTGCTTGCCTGTGGTCCTGGTTATGCAGGAGGCACAAGTAGGAGGATCATAGTCTGAGGTCTGGTGGGGTGGGGGTGAGCATAAGAACCTGTTAAAAACAATAAGCCCAAAAAGCGAACACGGCTAAGTGTTAGAGCACCTGCCTAGAAAGCATGAGGCCCTGAGTTCAAACCTCAGTACCATCATCAAAAAAAATTAAATAAATACTTTCCCTATGGATAGAAGAGGAATCTCATACATGTGGTCCGTAGACCATGTCATTGTCCATCTAGAACAAATGAACACCCCCACCTTTCCATCACTCTCCTATAAGTTCAAGAGCAACAGCACCACTTTCTGCCATGACACTACTACAAGCTTCTGAGGGACTCTCTTAATCTCTGGAATGTAGCCCAGTGTAGGGAGTCCCTTGCTTTGCTTCCAACCAGGCCTGTCCCACCCCTTCACCCACTCTCAGAACCCACTGCAGCAGCCTTACACTTGCCTCTCCCATGGCCTGCCTCAGCCTTAGGCTTTTAGAGATCTTCCCAACAGTTTCTCATACCTCGGTCCTCTGAGTTTTGTAGAAACCTGACCTTTCCTTTGCTCTATGGGGTGACATATCATATCCTGTTGGGCACACACTCCCCAATTCAGAGTGCTCAGAAAAACCTTGAGCTCAGTCTACTAGCTTCACTTCAACAGGTTCATGTTTAGTTCAAAGGAAAGGACTGGCTTTATGTGAAAGAAGCCTGAGTTTGGAAGGAAGAGGAGGAAGTGTATAGTGGTGACAAGGTGTGTGTTTCCCACCAGCAGGTCTATTTATCAGAGAAGCAGCAAGAACTATATGGTCCATCGTAGTATAGTATAAATATCAGGCTGGTCCCCCACACGACCTTTCCCATGGGAGGAACCAGAGGGGATAGTTTGGATGTTGCTATAGTTTCAATAAGGTTTGAGTTTGTTCTACAAGGTTCATGTGTTGAGGGCTTGGCCCTAACGGTGGCAATGTTGAGAGGTGGTGGGACCTTTAAGAGGTGGGATCCAGTGAGCCATGGCAGCACTGGCTCCTCCCCCTTTCTCTGGCTTTGGGTCTCACTGTGTGAGCTCACCCTCTGGCACAAATTCCTGCTATACTGCAATGTAGTTAGGGAGGTCCTTCCCAGACCTGGCACTGTGCTGTTTGGACTGCCAAAACCGTGAGCTGAATAAACCTCTTTTCTTTATAAATACCCTTTCTCAGGTAGTCCATTACAGTAAAACAGACTAATTCGGATAACAGCAAATGAGCAAGCTGGGCTGCAGCAGGAGGTACCAGGCTTGGAAGTGGTCAGAGGTACAAGGGGAGGACTGGGAAGATTAAACACCTGCTGATCACTGTGTACACTGCATATTTCACTGGGAGTTCCAGCTGGAAGGTGGTCTTGCTGGTTGCAGGCTTATTATTCTCACTGGAGAAAGAGAGGGGAACTGAATTGGAAATGAGTCCTGGAGAGGAATATCCAGCTGGGGCATGAGACTGGAGGCTGAGTGACACACCATAGCTGGCCTGGGCTCACCTGCTTGCATTAGCCCTCACAAGCAATCTGTCTCCCAGGGCAGCCTTGTAGGAGACATCAAATGTGATTATGAAGGTGCCCTGAGGGAGGAAGAAAGAAGGAATTAGGATAGGGAAGGTCATGGGAGAATGAGGGAAGGTTATGGGTCAGGACAAGGGAAAACAGTGAGAGGACTGAGGGGGAGCACTAACCCTAGTTCCCTCTTGGAGGATGGGGTGGTTGATGCTACAGCTGCTGCCCCTCCAGGCCTTGTTCTCAGTGGACTCTGCTTCGCATGCCAGGTGCAGTGGGCGCTGATGAGGTTGCTTTTAGTGAAATGAATTCAAAAAAGTTACCCACGTGTGCATATAGGACTGATATAGAGGAGTGGTGGCAGACTGGAGGCCCTGAGTTCAAATCCCAGTACCACCAAAAAAAAAAAAAAGAAAGAAAAGAGGAGGAGAGAGAGAGAGAGAGAAATTGGTTCCTTATAAACTCCAACTGGATTAAAGACTTAAATATGAAAAATGAAACCATAAAGCCATTTTAAATAGACATCTGTTTTCAGCTTTCTGGGGTAGACACATAGGAATGGATTTACTGAGTTATTTATTTTTTTAAGAACTATAAAACTTTTGGAAGGTAATATAGATGACTGTTCATAACCTTGGAGTAGGAAAACATTCCTTAAACAAGACTCACACGCAAGAACACTAAGTGCAAGAGAAAAGACTGATAAAATAAATCACCACCAAATTAAGACATTCTGCTTATTAAGAGACAGTATAAAAAGCTGAAAAGATCAGCAAGGGAAGAAACATTTGATCACATATTACTGGAATAGTAGCAAAGAACTCTTACAAACCAGCATAAAAGTATAAGCAACTCAACTGAAGAACAGGAAAAGAAATGCAGACAGGCACACCACAGAATGCAGAAGAAAAGATGCAAATGGCCAGGAAATACATGTAAAGTTGCTCAATCTCATTAGAACAGTGCAAATTAACACAGCAAGGAAATACTATTACCAACCAGATTGACAAAAATTAAATAGTCTGACATGCTAAGTGTTGAGGTACATAAAAGCCACAGGAACTGTCATACTCTGCTGATGGAAGTAAATAGGTAAAAATGCTTTGACTTTACTTGTTGAAATGGAGGATATTTTTAATAAGTCAGCATAGCAATTCTGTGCATGGTACATACCTTCCAAAAATATTATGCATAGGCACACCAGGGTACATGCTCAAAAGTAATCATGGCCCAAATCAGGAAAATAGACAACCATCAATTGTAGAATGTGGTACATTCATACAGAGAAATTCTATATAACATGTTCTATGGCCACATGTGAAAACACAAATGTGTCTCGCAAGTATAATATTGAGAGAAAGAAAGGACACAAAAAGAACACATACAACATGTTTCCACTCATATAAAGTTCAAATATGGCAAAAGTGAATGGTATGACTTAGGGATGCAGTCATGGATGGTAAATCTATAAAGAAATGCAAGGAAATGATTGTCATAAAGTTGGAAGATTACCTTTGGAGAGAGAGTAGGATATGACACATCACGAGAGGACTTTAGGATGCTAGCAGTGTTCTTTTCTTGACCAGGTGCTAATTATATGGATGTTTGCTGAATATTTTTTCACTAAACTATGCATAGACTTGCTGAACTTTTCTGTATGTGTGTGTATTATATAACATTATAGAAGATGAAAAAGAACCTACTATAACCTAGGAACTAAGGACAGGGGAGAGGCCTGCCTGGTTTGGATAAGGGTGAGTGCCCTTCGGGGGTTTCATGTGTTAAAATTTAACCCCCATTATGAAGCAATACTTAGTGGCTTTATAAGAAGCAGAACAGAAAGTAGACCAATACATACACGCACACTTCCTGTTTCTCATCATGTGATGCCTTGCACTGCCTTGGGACTCTGCCAGCAAGAAAGTCATCACTAAATGTGGCCCCTTGTCCTTTGCACCTCCAGAATGGTGAGCCACAATAAACCTCCTTTCTTTATAACTCACCCAGTCTATGGCATTTTGTTATTGGCAACAGAAAATGGACCAATATAAAGTTCTAGGCAAATATTGCCCCAGAAAGCTGTTTACCTGTATTTCTGACACCCGTCGATAGGATAGCCCTTCTGGATAGTAGAAGGTGACCACCGTTCCATAGGAATCCTCACCCTCATTTGACACCGTCACTGTCACATTGAGCTCCAGGGAGCTCCCCACCATTAGGGTCTGCAGGCTGAGGGGGACAGAGAAGACGGGAGTATGACTTCATGGGAAATAGGCTGGAATTGGACCAAGGGCAGGATTATGGAAGCTCGTGACTCATACACTGATAACATTCCCATCAAAATCATGTGTTAGAAAGACAAGGGGGGATCACAAGAACTCTCATTCTATGAGGGTCCCCCCTCATAGATAGGAAGATATGAAAGGAGATAGGACTCACCCTGAGAAGCTGAAGCTGACACTCAGGTCCCCTTCACAGAGGTGATCTTGCCCACAGTTCTTCTCAAAGGGGAGCTGAAGATTTTATATATATATATATTTTTTCCAACCCCATGGCTTAATCTTTCCCCAGTCACCTCACTGGAAGCACTCATCAATATTATTACTGAGGCTCTTCACCCCATACTCTGATAGACACTGGCAAGGGATAAAAGTGGGGTTGGAGGATGGAATATAAAAGATAATATTTAGGAGGCAGCGATCAGGAGGATTGTGTTTTGAGGCCAATCTGGGCAAAAAGTTAGCAAGACCCCATCTCAACAAACAAGATAGGCATTGTGGTATGTGTCTGTCATCTTAGTTACCCAGGAAACAAAGATAGAAGAATCATAGTCAGAGGTCAGCTTCAGGCAAAAGCACAAGACCCTGCCTGAAAAATAACTGAAAGGGCTGGGAGCATGACTCAAATGGTAGAGCACTTGCCTAGCTGTCCTGAGTTCAAACCCAGTAATGCCCCTACCCTCCCCTCAAAAAGATAAGACAAGATCCTTGTCTTATCAGTAAAGTTTAGTTGAGTTAATCTGATTAATAATGGAACAATATTCAACAAATATTAAGTTCTATTAATGGGACATGTTGTGTTAGTTTGGGGAAAGTAAAAGCAACAGGTGAATTAGATAGGGTTATTGAAGTTGGAGGAGTCTACAAGTCTCAGACAGCCATAAATGTAGATGCAGTGTCACCACTCCCTTCTAGTGATGTTTCAAAAGCGATGATCATGGTGTAATTGGGGGCCAGAAAAAAGTGGGAGCTGCTGCTTATGATTTTCAAAAGAGAGAAGATCAGAGCTTGGGGACTAGAGGAGATCCTTGAGGTGGACGAAAGAGGAAATGTTTCTCAAACAAGAAATACAGCATAGACCAAGGCTCTAGGGTAGGAATGAGAAAACCTGGGAGGGATCTAGAACATGAACTGAACAGCTTATGTTCCAGGCAAGTGGGTACAGCTGGGACAGGGGCAGGTGTCCAGACTACATAGGGCCTTGGAAGCTGGGTGGAGGTGTTTGGATTTAATGTGGCTGGTGCGCAGCTGGGAGCTACTGTGGGTTCTTCAGGACATGGAGACACACGGGGAGGCAAAGGCATCCATGGGACTTCTTTGAAGACTTACAGAAGCAGTGGAGAAGTCTTGTGAACCCACAGCCAGCACAGGACGAAGGTTCCCGGATGAGGTGGGGTTTCCCACCAGGGAGAAGTTGAGACGCAGTGTGATGGGAGTCACTATATCCTCCACGCAGTCCTGAGAGAGGATGGCCTTTCAAGAACCCATGGTCCTCCTTACTCTACACTACTGGGGCTTCTCCTCCATCACAGCCAGATGGACATCTGACCCAGCTAGAGGACCAGGTTCTTCCCTCAAACTCTGGAGCCACCCCCCAGCCTTCCTTTCTCCAGCCCCAGGAGCCTCACCCTTCCCACCTCACATGGCAGAGAACAGGGACTCTACAGGCTGTCTCTGGGCTCCCTCTCCCTCTCCCCTTCCCCCAAACAGAAGTCCTCACTGGCAAAAGCAGCTTCATGGTTTCACAGTGATCCCCCAACCCCAGGATTTTTCTTCGAGTCAAAGTCCAGTTCTTGGTCTCATTAAAAATGGCACGAGGAATCAGACGGCCTGGGTCCAACACCAGGTCATAGCTGACAGAGCTCTGGATATCACCTGCAGGAGAAGAGGGAGTGGAAAATGGAAAGGCAGAGAGAAGCTAGAATGTTCTGTTTTCATTTATTTGATCATGCAATAAACATTTGCCACGTACTTTCTATGGCCCCTGAACTGCACCCTATGCTGGAGATCTATGTGGAGAAGACAGACAGATATGCTCCCTGCCCTCAGGAATTTTCTAGTCTAGGAAAGAGACCATGTTCATGCGCCATAATGAGCAGAGCAGGGTGGGGTCTTCTGGGAGCCCTAACTCTGACTTGGCCAGCTATGACCTGGAGGACGACCAGGAATTAGGTGAAGCAGAGACAAGAGAAAGTCCCAAACTATGGGAACAGAGGCTAAGGCTTCAAGGCAGAGAGAGCCTGGCACATGTGCAAAAGTATGTAGGGGAAAGAGGAATGGGATGAGTGAGACAGAAGATGCATGGAGGAGCCAAAGAGAAAGGGCACTGCAGGGAAGGCTTTGGGTTTTACAGACACAAGGAGGAACAGTTTAGAGGTGGTAAGGATGTGGGTGGGGAACCGAGACTTGCATTTAGTTCCCCTGTGGATGGGTAAGAGGGCTCAAGAAGAGATGCAGAAACCACTCAAAGTCTCTTTTGGTAGGGGTAGGAGAGAGAAGTGGTGACTTGGGGAAAAAAAGTGACGGGGACCAGGGAGAGAGAAGTAAGCAAGTTACAGATCTCTCCTGGAGACAGGCCTGGGTATGAGAAGAAGGGGAGGGAAAGGACCCAGGTTTCTGACACAAGCAGCTGAGTGAGTGTTGAGAGGCTATTTGAATTCCAGGCCTATTCTGTCCTGAGGACAGCCTTGCGGGACTCTAATGGGGCAAAAGCTTGGGTCCGCCTTTAGGGAAGAAACTCACCTATTTGGTCAAGTGAGCCTTTGCGAATAGTGAGACAGACCATAGCCTCTCCAGCTTCCAGGGTGGCAGGCACCTCTTCCCAGCACTGGTACGCAGCCTTCGCTACCTCCACAGGGGCAAATCTCATAGACACCCCAACTTTCAGCACTGGCAGACTCCTGAGAGACATATGCAGAGGCTGAGGACAGGACGGTGGCCTCTAGGAGGGGGCAGCACTGATCAATCAGACACAGTGTGGGCGAGGGCAAGATGTAGGGGACTTGTCACCTGAGTAGCAGCACGTGACCCTTGGCTCCCACAGCCAGGTCCGCCAGTCCATCCTGGGTGAGATCCTGGCCCCCGCTCAGTGACTGACCAAAATACTGGAGCCTAAGGGAGAGCTGAGAGCTGGTGATCCGCTGGCCAGACAGGGGAGGAAAAATGGAAATCAGGAGCCAATTATGAAGGTTGAAGAAGAGAGATTCAGAAGGAGGTTGTGGTGAAAGCAGATGTGAATAAAGAAGTTGAAAAGGGAAGATGAAGGAACAGGAGATGAAAATAAGCAGCATGAAGAGCTCGAGGGCCCTCAGACAGTGAAAGTAACTTCTTTTGTAGTTTTGGTAACTACTCATAAGGGAACAGGTTAATGATGAAATAAAAGGAAGACAATAGGGATATTATAGACTCATTTATTCAACATTTGCTGTGGTTGGTCATAAACATTTCATGAGTGGAGTGCTTAAAGCATTCACTGTGCTATCTTTACAAGAAGCCTATGGAGTTGCTTTGGTCATTTGTATGTTTCACTGAAAGAAACTGAGGCTAAGACAGGCCAAGTTGGTCATTTGCCTACGGCCACAAAACTAATGAGATATGACCTGGGATCTGACCTCAAAGCCAATTCCCTTACCCACTAAGCTGTGCCAATATATTGAAGGTTGTTCAGAAAAAACAGAAATGATTTGTGCTTAGTGGGATTTGGTGATATTCAAGGAAATAAGCTACTGAAAGAAGGTAGGGAGTTGAGGTTGCTAAGGGGAATGACAGAGGCTGGCATTCAGTGAACCAGAGACAAGGTAAGAGCTGAAGACAGGGCCTCACCTGGCTGTGCACAAGGCCAATGTCCAGTCCTGAGACCCCATGAAATATGTAAACAGCACCCCGGTTCTCCTGCTCTCCAGGGGCCCCAATGGCCACATCTGTCAGCTTGTCCCCATTCATGTCCCCCAGCACTGTCAGAGCTTCCCCAAATCGGCCCCAAGGATGGCCCTGTTCCCCACGGAGAACAGTCTCACACCGCCACTTGCTCCACTGTAAAATAAAACCAGTGCCAGGCCCAACCCAGGCCCTACCACTCCACACCCAGCCCCAACCAGCCCAGGTCCCATCTGTCACTCACCCTGGGCATGGGGCACATGGACACCTGGCCCCCTTGGGTCTGTTCATAGTAATGGGGAGCCCCAATGAGGATCAGGTCAGTGCTGCCATCACTGTCCACATCCACAGAGCAGAGAGCAGCCCCAAAGTAAGAGCCAATCTGAAGGGCAGAATCTGAAGTCACCTACCTGTCCCACCAGAGGCATCCCTTCTGGACCAGGTCCCAACAGTTCCCAGGCACCAGTACCTTGCCCTTCATCTCCTCCTCCATCCCTGGCTACACTGCTCACCTTCATGGCTTCCTCCTTACTAACCTGAGTCCCTGTGACTTCAGCATTTGGCTTCCACCACCTGAATATCTGAGTGAAGATGACAACCTTCCCGGTATTGGTGCGAGAGCCCCAAGGACCTAGCCGTCTGTTCCCTTTCCAAAGGCCAGCTCCGGCAGTTATCCTAACTCTCAAGGGGGCCCTACGCTCTGCTGACGAGCACTCAAGGCTCCTCTTCCACCCCCCTCAGCTACTCATCACCCACCCAACCTGCCCATGGCCTTCCTCACCCAGGTAGGAGTCCCTCTTGTCCACATTCCTCTGAGCCTGCTATGAAAAGATGGCTTTTTATTTGAGGGAACAAGAGCACCTCCAGACCAGCTGTTAGCTCCCCACATGCCCCCAAATGGGGCATCC